CTTTTGCTGCTGCTCTTGCTGCCTTTTGCTGATGTGACCAACCATGATTCCACCAACAGATCTACCTCCAGGACAAGCTGCGCAGCCAGATAAAACAAGTTTACATGGATGTGTGCGCAATGGGGACATTCGACGACATCGATAGCGACGGCCGAGGTGACGCCCAATTGGGAACGGAGATCTTTGTCTTCGCGGCTTGCAAGAGCGACCTCGGAGCTGAAGGGTCGGGAACGCCACCGTCATCATATGTGCAAACTGCCCTGACGCGGTCGGGGCTCAGGGCGCATCGGCGGATTGTTGTCTTCGGTACGAAACCTACGACTTCTGTTTGTGAGAGAGAGGTTAATTATGAATAATATATCGCTCTCTTACACTTTTTTTTTTCTTCCAATGGAGTTGTTACATTTCCTTTGATAGATTGTGATAGTCTGATCCATTTTCTCAATATTTTACAACTTGATCTATATATAACAGATGGCGAAGAAATAAAATGTCAGTTTGCTATAAGTTTGCTGGCTAGCATGCTTGAAGAAAAGGAGGGGTGGTTATTGGAGTTGGGTTGAATGGATTTTGGCCTCAAGTTGACATACTCGTCGACTAACGAGTTTAGTAAAATTATGTCTACGATTCACTCACATTTTTGTCAAGTTGGGTTGGGTGGATGACGGATGAATGCAGTTCGATTGCAAGTTAGCTCACAAAAATGATTCTCCAACAAGTCAAAAGATAAGTAATAACATTTACAATAAATATCTAGCAAATTAGGACGGATTATAGACGGATTATAGCAATTCAGCCACCTCCCGCTTTGTCTCAACTGCATATGATATGAACAGTATTTTGAGCGACAAATATAATATGGTCGTAAAAACACTTCAAAGCTTGCGACCATAAAAATGGTCGTTAGAAACATCAGCTTTGCGGGCTCAAGGGTGCATAACCATGGGTTATGCACCCATCAATAACTAAATCTGGATTCTTCATTAAAAAAATTCAGATATAAGGATGTAGAATTTAAAGACCATTTTTATTTCCACTTGTTTTCTTAATCGATTCATATCTTTTTCGTTTTAACTTGGATTTCTTTTTTTCTTTTTTTGCACAGATGGAACGAGTTCGTTGTGCTCTACAAATTTTCTTGCCTCTCAGTACCTACTGCATACCATATGGTATCTTCTTCATTTTTAATATTCATTTTTGAAAACGTTTGCATAGAAGGAACGAGATCATCATGATCTATTGGATCTATAAATTTCTGGGTGAACAAATTACAGGACCAAAAAATACCACACAATAACACCCTGGCACGAGGTGATATCTTGTGGTACACAATGTTAAAAGTCGTAAATGACAGTGAATATACTTCTACTATGGCTAAATTACACGTTTGGTCACTCGAATTATATAAATATTTCACGTTTGCCACCCGAATTACTTTTCTTTCTTATTGACCACTAACTTTACAAATCGTTTCACCGTTAGTCACCGGCCGTCAGTCTCCGTCAAACTCGGTTAACACTGTCAGATTTTTTATGACGTGGCAAACGGAACTATTGACTGGGCATTATTTAATGACGTGTCAATTTAAAAAAAAATAAAAAATAAAAAAAGATTACACCTCATTTTCTTCTCACTGTATCCTTTCTTTTCTCCTTCGTCTTCACAAGACCAAAAGTCCAACGTGAAGGGTGACCGCTGCGATACCCCTTGTTGCCGTAAACTCCGTGGCCTTCAGCATCCTAATCCGCCGCACCACCAAGTTTTCCTGTCGGAGTCGGAGTCGCCACTGCTCGCCAAGACCAGTCGCTACAACCTCCTCTCAAAGGCGCCGCTACAGCCTCCGCCGGGAATCCACACCATCGTCATCGATCCGCCGTTGTCGTTGTCCCCGTTTCTTCTTCCAGATCTAGGGAAACCCTCCAAAACATAACCACCCCTACATATCAAAATCGAAACTCCTTAAATTCGGAATCAAACAAAAACAGTAAAAATCAACAAGCATTGAGAAGGAATAAACCACTTACCACCTTCGTTCTCCTGGCGGCGACGAGAGCAAAGCAGCGGCAGATTGAGATCGAGGGAGGAGGAGAGTGTGATTTGGGGTTCTAATTTGTCTGGGTTTGATAGAAGAGGAGATAGAGAGAAGGTCGAGAAGAAGCAAAAGAGGGGAAAGGAGGATGAGATGCAGATGAGAAGCAGAGAGGGGAAGGAGGGCCGACATTGGTGAGTTGAAGGAATGTATTGGGTTTAATTTTTGAAAAAAAAAATAATAATAATAAATTTCATCTCAACCTTCTGTCAGCTCAGTCAGCAGTTCCGTTTGCCACGTCATCAAAAATTTAACGGCGTTAACGGAGTATAACGGCGATGGACGGCTAGTGACTAACGGTGAAACAATTTGTAAAGTTAGTGGCCAATAAGAAAGAAAAGTAATTTGAGTGGCAAACGTGAAATATTTATGTAATTTGAGTGACCAAACGTGTAATTTAGCCCTTCTACTATTATGTATTTAACCATCCTACAGTTTTGATTTGTTCATACCACCATGGTACGCTTTTCAAACCATAGGTATGCTCTTATTTCAATACCAGTCAATACCATATGGTATAGACTGGTAAAAAATGGCTAAATTTTTTTGTTCAAAAAATACATCAAAGTGGATATTATTTGAAGAGTACAATTAATCTAATCTAACTGGGAAAAAAATTAATTTCGATTTAAAACGAGTGAGAAATTGTCTGTCAAAGATTAAGGGGAGAAAATTAAATGTCTTTCAGGAGAGAGAATTGGGTTATGCATGGTTATTGACAAGAAGGTGGCTCAAGATAGGGTGCATAACCATGGGTTATGCACCCATCAATAACTAAATATGAACCCTTCATTTAGAAAATCTAGATTTAAGGATGGAGAATTAAAGGCCATTTTTATTTTCCTTATATTTCTTAATCGGCTCATATCTTCTTCGTTTTAACTCGGATTTTAATTTTCTTTTGCACAAATTGAACGAGTTCGTTGTGCTCTACAAAATGAGATCCATTTTCAATATTTTTTGAGAAAAAAAAATTCTTGTTTCTCGATACCAACTGCATACTATATGGTATCTTCTTCGTTTTTAATTCGTTTTTTTAAAACGTTTCCATAGAAGGAACGAGTTTATCATGATCTATTGAATCTACAAATTTCTGGGTGAAGAAATTACAGGACAAAAAAAATACCACACAATACCACCCTGGTACGGGGTGGTATTTTGTGGTACACAGTGTTAAAATTCGTAAATGACAGTTAATATACTTCTACTATCATGTATTCAACCATCCTATAGTCTTGGTTTGTTCATACCCCCATGGTACGCTTTTCAAACCATATGTATGCTCTTATTTCAATACTAGTCAATACCATATGGTATGTATTGGTAAAAAATGGCTCAATTGTTTTTTGTTCGAAAAGTATATCAAAGTGGATATCATTTTGAAGAGAACAATTAATCTGATCTAACTGTGCATAAAAAATTAAATTTAGACTTAAAACGAGTGAGAAATCGTCCATCAAAGATTAATGAGGGGAAAATTAAAGGCTTTCTAGGAGAGAGATTGACGCTGATTTCATTCTGATGTGGACGGGTTACTCATGGTTACTCACCATAAATTTACTAACCTGATCTGTTCTCCCAGAAGGTTACTCACCGGATCATTGACAAACTGATCATTTAATCAATATCGAAACTTGTTCTTAAAGTTTCCCAAAACTAAATATGTTATTTGATTTCAACACCTGCAGTTGCAATCGGTAAAATCAATTACATTGAGAAGCAAGTAAACCAATGGATATGATAGAATGGAGGGAATAAGGATAACCCGTAATCAGGTTCAATTGTTAGATTTTCAAAATAATTGGGAGAAGGAATATCATATTTACTATTAAACTAATGTTTAAACTAGTACCGGGGTTGAATTATTGTTATCAAAAAATTAGGGGTGTACCAAATTCCAATACTCCTGGCTCCGCCCCTGCCGATGCTGTATAGGCTACCACTATGGCGACTCGATATTCTGGTCGTTAAAACTTCAGCCGACCATATTTTCAGTTTTTGCGACTCTTTTGTGGTGGCAAAATAGTGTATTTCTTGTAGTGGAAAATTTTCCTATTACACATACAAACTTATTAATTGGTCACTGTTAATGAAAAACCCATTGTCAGATAAAAGAAAGCCAGTTATCACATATCCCTAAAGAGTCCTCATACAAGTGGAGTTCACTTCAGTGCATTACATTGGTTATCAATTAATTCATTGATCCATTAACCAATTATAGAGAAAAGTAACACTTATTGTAACTTTGAAACAACTAATTAGTTATAATTTGCATTTTCAAATATCTAATTGACATAAGTCAACATAGTAACCAAGTATTAGTATTTAAAAAAATATTCATGTTACTCATACAAACTTTTAATTTGGTCATTGTTAGTGATACACCCAAACACCCATGTGTCCGCCACTGGCTATCTGGTCCTGATCCGGTCTCGATCAAGTTATACGATCCGGTTTTAGGTAAAATAAAAAATGCCGAACCAAATAGCGAGTCCTGTTCACCACCCGTACCGTTCCTACTCAATACAAAAAAGGGGGGGGGGGGGCGATTCCTCGTCGATTTAACTCAAAATGATCGAATACTCACGATCACACGTCGAATCACCATTACCAACTAATATGGAATGGCTACAGCCTATCTAAAATCGAATAAACTCGGTTTAACATCGACGATCAAGACAACATTAACAAAACAACAGGGGAAAGAAAAACCAGTAACGTAAGTCTTACCTATATTATATTGTAGACAACCAAACCCTCGTGCTTTCCCTCCATTATCCCGTCGCATCCTTCTCAACGTCTATCGCCATTGCTGATGCCACTGCCAAGCGGCTTTCTTTCTATATATGTATATATACCCATTCCCCAAGCACAATATTCATTCATACCACCTAAAGAAGAAGAAGAAGAAATGGCGCCATCAACAGCATTTCTGGTGCGTCGTCTTCTCGTGATAATTAGCTTCACGGCCATCTTCTTTGCCACCGGGTTTGTCGTAAGCTATCCTGATAAAAAAGATAGAGTGTGCATTCATGGGCCAGAGAGTCATTTCGACTATGCTTGGAACGAGACGAGATTGGCTGGTACGAACGTGCAGGTTGAGGTGCTCAAGTCCATGGAGGACAGGCTGGACGATGTTTCCCAGGGCTTCGTGGATGTGTGCACTGGGGGAACTTTCGACGGCAGTGGCGACGGTCACGACCAATACGGAACAGACATCTTCGTCTTCGTGGGTTGTAGGTTTGGCATGCAAGACGAAGACTGCCGGAATTGCGTGGGGAATGCGACCGAGACCGTACGTGCCAACTGCCCTGATGCGGTCGGGGCTCAGGCCGCGACGGGGCACTGTTGTGTTCGATACGAGACTTACCCGTTCTGTTTCGAATGACAAAGACAGTTTTGACAAGAGATCTCTTTACATCCAGTTCATCATCATCGTCAATATTTTTGTGGGGCGTGGTTTTCTTCGGCATCTGAGCGAAGTTTGGAATTAGTCATACATTTTTTTTCTTCTTCTTGTGTTAGCTTTTTTTTCGGTTTTCAAAGTAATTTTCATAAATATGGGGAGCGTATTAGATAATGAGTTGTACCAGTAATATTATGTTATAATACGAGTATTATTATGTAATTTGGCAAATTTATATTCCTTATCGAAGTTAAGTGTTTTCCATATTAGCAATGTTGTCAGAAGCGAACCGGAGTACGACCCGATAATGTGAATGGCTCGGTCTTTAGCGGTTCAACCGGCATTAGACCATTAGAGAACCGGTATCTAATAAACAATCCGTATAAAATATTAATAGTGGACCTTTCTTAATAATGGTAAACCATAATTAAATTAGTAAATTACATTTTAAGTCTTAAAAATAGACAATTATAAATCTAACACTACCATCCTGAAAGTTCTTAATGATAATGAATGAATGAACGCCCCATCACATGCCTTTGCCCCTCCACCACCGGCGTTAGACCATCCATCACTTTGACTCAAAACCTCTAACATTTTCTACTTCTAAATAACTCAATCTAATTCACTAAATAACTCACGGCAGCAACACTAACCTAGTGGGAGAAGGGGACGGTGCAGGAGAGTGCGGCAGTGACCGGTGCAGAGGAGGGCAGCAGTGGTGGGTGCAGGGGAGGAGCAGCAGTTTCGTCGCTGGCGACAGGCGACTCGCGATGGCGACGGGGGACGAAAAGGTGGCTTCCCCAAAACGACGAGCGGCCTACGGGGAACGACGATGATGGCGAAGGGGGACTGGCTTCCGGCGATGGGGAACGACGACAAGGGCGGAGATTTGGACTGGAAAACAGGGGAAGGAAGCGGCGGCTTCTTTCAGTCTGCACAATTGAATTTTGGAATTAGGGTTAGTTTCAGACAGCCCGAGCCCGATCCTCCCCTCTTTCATTTTTTAGTTTTTATTTAATTAAGCCAACCGGCCCAATCGGAAAAGCCTGGCGAACGACTCAAGCGGCTCGAGCGGTTAACCGCTCCGGCCGCTCGCCGACCGCCCCAAAGAACCAGTCCGGCTAAATAGCTGAGTCGAGCCGGTTTTTTGGCCGGGTGACGGTTTTGGCGGTCCGGCCGTCTCGCTCCGCTTTCACAACACTGCATATTAGTGTTGGGTTATTAATAATATTGGTTATTATAGAAATCTATCATTGTACTCTATATAAATCCTACGTGATTTCAAGTAACAATACACTAGGGGTGGGCAACGGGAAACGAGTATTTGGGTATACCCATACCCGTCCCGTTTTTTAAGGGTTACGGGTACCCATATTACCCGTAATATTATGAACGGATGGGACTTGGGATTGTACATTCCTAATATGGGTACCCGCGGGTTACCCGCAAATACCCGTTTGGGTAATGTGGGTACCCGTTTTACCCATTTGCGAACTCTAATCTATAGAAAGGGAATGCCCACTTCGCCACAAAGATGAAACTTTTCTTAGTAAAGAAACAAAGAACGCTATGTGAACATAATACTTGTAGACTCCCTTTTGTTAAATGAAACTTCTTATTTGATAATTTGGTGCTTAGAATGATTTATTTCTATGCGTTGTGATTGTTCATGATTTGTGTTGAATGAAACTTCTTATTTGATAATTTGGTGCTTAGAATGATTTTTTCTATGCGTTGTGATTGTTCATGATTTGTGTCTTGTGATTGTTAAGCAAGTACAAGTTAAGTTTAAACTTTTGTTAAAATTTGAGTGGTTTAAACTTTGGGTATTTATGGGTAGTATGGGTACCCGTTATCCGTCCCGTATGGGTAATGGGTACCCGTTTCCCATATGGGTTTGGGATATGGGATGGACTTTGGCCTCCAAATGGGACTGGGTACCCGTTTAAAACGGGACGGGTATCCCGTCCTGTCCCGTTGCCCACCCCTACAATACACAATAATTTTCACTTAATTCTAATTTTCCAATAATCTCATGGTAGCTATTAGACTAACTCAAACCCTAGAGCAAAAAAGTCATTTACACATTCTTAGCTCTTTTTTGTTACTCCAACCCACATAATTTTGGGAGCTAAAAATGAGTATTAAAGAATTGGGAGCCAAATTTACCTTCCAATTGGATGGAAAAGCCAAATTTGGCTGGAGTGGTGGACCCGTTGCTATGGCGAGCCACACACCGCGTTAAGGGAGTGGGCTGCACACGCGCGTTGGTAAGGCTCTCATATTGGTTTTGTTTTTCTTTTTGCTTTTTTTTTGTGTGGTATTTTGTCATTGGTTGATTGTGTATGTTGTCTATTTAATTGTTTGAAAGAAGATATGGAATGTTGTATGTTTAATTGGTATTTTCTCGTTGGTCCCGAAGTTAACGGTAACAAATTAACGACTAATTTTCTGAAACTTTTTTTATCTCAAAATTTAGAAAAAACTACATCCAAAATTTTGTTTCAAAAGTAATAACAAACTATAAAAAAATATATGAAATATAAATATTAGAGGTCGAATAAGTATGGTTTATTGAAATAAATTGAAAAATAGGAGTGGGAAGCTAAATCTAGCTTTTTGTATGGTTGGGGTGAAATGGGGTTTGGAGGAGCTAAAAAGCCAAATTTTGCTTTATGGTTGAAATTAGTCTTAGCATCCTGTTTTAAGCTTATTGTGCCCTCACTCCTTGAATCAGCATGCCCTCCAGACATCAAGCCATTACATCTCCCAATCACCCGTAGTCAAGATTTCATTTAAGGTGAGTCCACTAAAGAATAAAAATATACATGATAAAATAGTTTTTGTCAACTTTTCTAATAATTCATGACATAATCTTATATTGAAAATTTTTAGTAAATTAAAATACGTTGTAGTCAAAACTATCAATAATATTACTTTATGTACAAAACAATTATTAATGATTTAGTTAGTCATTCTCTTTCTAATGATGTTCTTTGTCAAGAACCGTTAGTATCAATAACTCAATTTGTCGAGAAAAGTTTAATAATGAATCTTACACCAAACAATGATTCATAATTTTATTTATTAATCGTTTGCTTTCGAATGATATTCTATCGTCAAGAACCGTTTAATATCAATAAGTCGAGCTGTTGCGATTCAATAATATGTCTTATATCATTTACTAGCACACTCACTCCATTTGCTTAAGATATGAGGTCGCCCAGTTCCGAACACAAAACCTTTCAATATACTATTCTCAATTAAATGTACCATAATTATCAATATCAATTAACTATTGTACATAAGTTAACCATTTTTTTCCAGAACCCGGATCCACCCTCTTACATTCTCCCTCCGCCGCTGACCCCTAGTGATGGGTGAAACGTGTGGGGATAGGTAGAAGAGTGAGAAGAAAAGTGCAAGTGATTTATAACCTAACTTGCTACTTTATTTTGTTGAGTAAAGTAATAAGTGAGTTTTGGAAAAAAATGTGCAATTTAATTTGATTTATTACTTTGATGTTTGCGCGCCTTGGGATTTGAAATGACACAACTCTTTGAAAAGGAACTGTCGTTTTTTTTTTTCACAATAAAAGAGACATTTGGCTAGTAGATTACCGGTAGAATCTCCATTCCCAACTAATATGGAATGACTACAGCGTATCTAAAAACGAATAAACTCGTTCAAAAAAAAAAACGAATAAACTCGGTATAACATCGACGATCAAGACAACACTAACAAAAACAAAGTGGAAAGAAGAACATGTCACGTAAGTCTTACCTATATTTGTTGGCAACCAAACCCTCGGTCTTTCCGCTCCATTATCCCGTCCCATGCTTCTGCCACGGCCAAGCGGCTTTATTTCTACACGTATGTATGCACAATATTCATACCACCACCAGAAGAAGAAGAAGCAATGGCGCTATCAACAGCATTTCTGGTGCGCCTTCTCCTGATAATCACGATAACTACGACCATCTTCTTCGCCACTGGGTTTGCTGTAAGTTATACTTACAATAAAGATAAATTGTGCATTCCTGCTGGACCAGACGGCAGCCAGCTTCTCAACTACGCTTGGAACGAGACGAGATTGCCTGCTGGCACGAACGTGCAGGATCAAGTCCTGGCTGACGTGGCGGATACGATGGACAATCTGCCCCGTCACTTCGTGGATCTGTGCACTCTGAAGAATTTCGACGGCAGTGACATCTACCTCTTCGTGGGTTGCACGGCCGGCCTCCCGTCCGAGGAGTGCCAGGATTGCGTGGGGAAGGCGACTGCCGTGATCTCCCGCTGCATGGCGTCGCCAAACCAGTTCGCTAACAGTACTCGCCATAGCTCTATACTCTGCTTCAGCTGCGGAACGAGCAACGACAATATGTTTCTTCGTGCGCCAGGATACCGGGCAGTTTCCCAAGCGAATGAAATATCCAGTAGTAGATCGACGTGTCCGCTGACAGCCACCCCAGTCAGCATCGCAAAAGGCAGTCAAGCTAAGTTGTCCTGTAGAAGGGAAACGAAGGCCACGTCCGAGAGCACCCTTAAGATACCTCAAGACTCTGTGTGCGGCATCCTCATGCTCTTGACGCAGAGAATGAACATCCTGACTCAAAATATTCACAGCATAAACTGTATGGGGACGCAGAGAATGAACATCCTGACTCAAAACATTCAAATACTGTAGGCGCCCAACAAGCCTCCGAAAACCAGAAGGATCCTTAGCTGCTGGACCCTCGATACGTGTGAGATGATGATTCTGTTCGATCGGGAATGCGCACGGTTTGACAGCCAATGGGTATTTCCTCTGTGACAGTACTAGTCCAGCTCGAGAACGAGCGACTTCAATGCCCAATAAATACTTTAGCACTCCCAAGTCTTTGATACTAAACTGTTTCTGTAGAAAATCCTTCACCTGCTGAATAGTATCCAAATCATCTCCACCAAGAATAATATCATCCACATAAATTAGCGCAAAA